TGGATTAGGTTGGAAGTGGGTTCAGGGTGGCCAGACCAAGACGTAACACTAGTCGATGAACTCTTTAACTAGTGGTCTGAACAGTGCTAGGGGATGCTGACTACCTGGTTGAAGTCCTCGAGACGAAAGGAATCAACAGTTGAGGACACTTGGTGACCGCTGAAAAGCGGTCACAATGGCTTAGATGTATTCACTATTTGACATCTAATGCTTGAATATTCACACCAACCGTCATTTTCCGATTCTTTATTTTCTCATACAACTTTGTCTACATTGAAATCACTCATTTTCAAATTGAAGCTTGAAAGAAAGAGGAGTAATGTCACAGTATTCTAATTCATTTGCTTATGGCTTCCAAAGTCTCAGTATCATCAATCTCGTTTTACATTATTCACTATGAAAATGTAGCAAGATCAAAGAGAAGTTTAATAACTTGTGTACTCTTATTGTATCCTGTATTCAGAATAAGTTTTTCGCTTGCTCCTCATTTACAGAAAAGACTGTATAAGAAGAGCGAAAAAATGAATTGCCTACATTAAGGATACTAGTTACTTATTTATTTCTAAGCTTTTACTTCTACGGAAACTTCAGGTTTCTTTTGTTAAGTGTCTTTTAATTAGTGCTTATGCAAATTTTACTGATTTCAATTTTTGGTGCCCTAATAACTTGTTATAGTTAATTAACTTTTTTAGGTTAATAGCTTGTAAGTCTCCGTCATTGGTTGAATAGAATTAATGAGCCGCTATTGGTATATGGGCTCCTGTGAGGAGGGTGCCTCGATATTACCTATATTTTCAAATTCGATACTAATGATGGATAATTGTCAACAATGGAATCCAGGACATACGTTCTATCCTATTTGGAATTCGTCAGCTGGATATACCATCTCCCCTAATAAATAATTTTGTTCCCATTTGGGCTCGAACCCAGGACCAATCGTTACAAGCACCAGGGTGATATCCACCAAGCCACTGAGTCACAGTAACCACTTCGTGTGCGTCGCTTATAACATGGTTTTGATATTACATCCATCTAATGAGTCCCAACTGCAACGGAACGCGTGTCCTGGATTGCTCTGGTTTCATTGACCATCTTTGAATTTTATTACCAACGATATGATCATTAAAAAAACGAGTTACTTTTTACAGAACCATGCCAGTTTTCCATTGGCCTGTGCCAAGGATAAGAAAAATATCCAGAAAAAATTGGACATGTAACACAAAAATGTTTAAATGGTGAATGATTGTTTACAGATACTTATTTACAGAGAATGATTGCAAATGGGAGTAGTATTTTTTGTCTAATCAGAAGATATATCTCTTTATTTTAATGGTGGATGCGAAACCTCTTCAGTTTGTCTATCCTCTACTGTTACACAATCCTTGCTCCGTAGGCTTCTCAATAACAATCTTGATTGTAAGAATTCCAGAAATATTGTGGATCAGTGTGACCGAATGGTTCTGATGGAGTCATATCAATTTTTTCAACAACTTTACATCATGTTGTACATCAAGCAGAAGGAAAAACGTATCCTTTGGGAATGACTAGTTGATCTATGAGATATGCATATTGAATCCCTTTATTTTAAGCTTCGATTTCATGCACATAGATTGCCTTTACTTTGCGAGTAGTTCTAGCATATCTTCTCACTTCTCCCAGTGCATCTTTATCATCTTCAGTGATAGTAACGTGCATAATATTGCACGCTGGACGCATTCAATAACAATGTTTACTAGAATCAAAAAACATTTAAGTAATGCACACGGAACATCTCAGCAAACAGTGAACGAAATCTGAAATTTGTGTGATGGGTGGGATGTAGTGACGATGAGGGATAGCTCTGGGTTAAATTGCAAGACCAGGGGTTGTAATAATAATTTATAGCAATGTGATTGGTTTTTTCTGTTCTCCACCCTCCGTTTAAGTTTGCTTTCATGCGGTATCTGGGATACCATTAACCCAGACCATACTACTGAGGTTCTCATTTTTGTGATGTTCCTCTGTCAATAAGCATTCATTATTTAAACGTTTTTGTGTAACATGTTCATTTATTTTGTATGCGTTTCTCATCCCTGTCTTATGTCATAATGATACCATCATGGTTTTGAGAAAGGAATCTCAAATTGTCATGAACATTACGTCTTTACCGTCTTACTAAATGTGTACATTAAATATATATATATATCTTGGTATTTGATTGTTAGCAAAGGGTAACTAAATCTGGAAGTTAGAAAACGCACTAAATCTATGTTTTTTGGGGGTTATGAGTGAACTTAAAGACTGGGAGTGTTACGAAAAGCAGTGTTCCAATTATTATTAATTATTTAATTCAAACATTATTTAGTTTAGTGCAAGTTACCTTCTTCAAGTTACTTGAAGTAAAGATTCGGTTAAATTTGTTAGGAGTGAATTTTGGTCACGTGTAACTTAAAGTAAATTTGATTTTATTCTTGAGCATTCGAAGAAAAAGGATTTTTACGCAGGCATGAACAATCTGTAGGTGTAGAAATCTCTTGAACGGCAGCTCAATCGTTATATACTTCCAAGCTGAAAAATAATGTTTCAGCATATTAGTTTACTTCTGCAAACTCACTTTATTATTATTCTAATCTTGTTCTATAAACTATGATCTCTTTAGATTCAGTATTTAGAAGAAAAATTATTATACAATCACAAGAGTTGGTAGTTAACCAGCGAAAAGTTGAATGTGCTTGAAGTTCTGTATACTAGCGAAATCCGTCTTAAGGCAAAGTGTTGTATTCATAATGCTTTACTTTTGCATCATGATTCAAAGTTATATAGTCACTAAGTATTTCTGGAGGTGATTTATAAACTTGATGTGCTTTACTGCTGCTTGGGAAAAGGAAATCGAGAAAACTGAAGGGTTTCTCGATATTGTTGATTTTCACCCTCCTCTAGACCCTGTAACATAAGTCTTTTGACCGTCACTCACTAAATCACATGTAGTGTGATACAGTGGTTTTATTTGCGTTCCTCACTGGTCTGGTTTATGGATGAAGTCCCTGACTAGTGGCCTGAATCGTGTGAGGAGATATGAACTGCCTGGTTGGGGTTATCAAGACGAAAGGAATCAGTGGTTGAGGACACTTCGTGATATGGCTAAAAGTCGATCACAATGGCTAGAATGTATTCACTCTTTGACATCTGAAGCTGGAATATTCACACAATTTTATCTACTTTTCTATCACTTTTTCTATCCACCTGTTCTTTGAGTACTACTATGAATTGTGGCAACTTGAACGAATGCACTTGCGTGAAGGGTTTTACTTTGATTTTTCAGTCAGTTTATCATTTCATTTATTTATATCATAAATTATCAATAGAAGCTGACTCTGGTTTTTCAGGTGTTAGCGTTTCCCCGGGAAACCAAGTAACGCGTTGTGTAGTTCTCTTGGGTAAAGATGCTAAAATTATCTAGAATTATATAAATTCCTTGGTTGTAAACTTGTTAATCCATTTTTGTCTTCCCTGTACGTGTCAAGTACATGGTTGTACTGCGACAGTGCTGTGAAATGAGGCCTAGTTTAACAATGTGATGTGAAATTAGTCGCTTTTTTAATATTTCACTTACCAGGCCACTTTTTTGGAGTTTCAACAGTTCTAGTGAGCTGGTTGGTGTTAAGATTTCTGCCTGAATGTTGAAGTTTTATTCCAACTTCACAATCTTATATATCTGCTGAGTCTATCACTTATCCACCTGTCTGTCTAACAACATAATTTCGATTAGATGATTGGTGTTCAACATCAGTTTCTTTGACATTACGTGAAGTAAATCTACGTTAGTCTCGATGACACGGACATATTCAATGATCATTGTCATCGAAATGTTGAACATCCTGTATTATTTAAATCAAATAACACAACATGGCTAGTCTGAAATAGTCAACATTTCAGTCATCTGTTAGAAGTCTCCTTTATCATCTCAGTTTTGTTGTTCATTACAGTAACTGCATTTTTCCGTTACTTTTTAGCTGTTAATCAGTATGTGAACCACTAGAACTAATACACTAATGTTTAATCTGTTTATCATTGTTTCTGTCTCAGAGATATAATTGTAAAATCTGATATCTCATTCTCATGGTGTTTAAGATAAATACTGATTTGTAGTTCTTTTTATAGGTGACCTATATAACTTAAAACTTAATTCTCGCATTTAAGAAGATAAAACATCATCAAATTTGTTTCGAGATAGTTGTAGTATCTTATTAATGTACCAAGGAGTTGAACATGTTGTGTTATATCAAAAATTGATTAAACAAACGTTGTTGCATTGATAGTTGACCAAAGTTTAAAAGTTGAACTAAGAAAGATAAACCTACTTATTGGAATTGGAACAATGATCTGACAACTTTTATTATTTTACTTGCATGTACAAAATTGTTGAAGCAAACTTAATCTCGATATGTAAGAAATATAAAGTGGCTTATCAAGTGAAATAAATCAATCTGATTGTTCAGCTTCTAATTCATTTCAGTGTAGTCAGTTGAGAAACTTCACTGTCCATAATACTTAAATCTAACTAGTACTTATAGCCTATTACGTAACAGTGGAGTTTGAAGTAGAGTGTCGCATTTGAGTGTACGGTGGAAACAACGTCACTCATTGAGAAGTAGTGGGTGCATCCAATTGATGAACTTTGACTGGGATGAAACGCACATCCTGGATTCCACTGCTAGTTACTATCCATGATTGATTTGTTCAATATTCAGTATGATATTTTGTTAGTTGAACTTAAAAATTCATTGTGAGTAAGACTTCCTTTCCAACAGAAATCCAGTTTGCTTCAAGGATGAGTTATAACAAGACATCTGATTGTAAGCATCTCAGCAATCACATATGTTAACCAATTTATGTTCCTAACATACACTATTAGGGAATTTCCATAAGGACCTAATTTCTATAATTTTATATTGGTATTAAAGAATAATATGAGGGAAAAAATGGCAACAGTCTACACAATTACTTTTTTTTATTCTCAGCTTGATAAAGCTTATGATCCAAATGACTCAGAATTTGATCCATGGGAAGAAAAACTTGATCAAACTAAGATGAGACGAAAATTTATGGATCACTACGATAAGGATGGAGATTATTTTGTTTCTCGTGACGAATTCTTACGCGGTGTAACATCCGATTATGCACGAACGGATGAACCGTGGAAGGTAAGTCTATGAGTAATAAAATGATGCTGCTATTTCACTTCTATCTACAGTTCATATAGATTTTTCTGTATATAAACAAGGATAAAACTACCACTTGTGTAACTGCATTTATTAGATATATCAGTGACTACTTGTGGTAGCTTAACTTTTGTTAACGCAAATGTTAAAATAATGATACCAATACTGTTTACAGAGGATTTCAGACTCTTATGGTGTTACCATACTATGAAGGTGCCTTAATCGAACTGATATTTAAACCTACAAATTCACTTAGGAACAAGCTTTATTGGTTAATAGATCCTGTTCATCCGATTTAACAGAATAGTTTATCTGACCACATCCTCTACTATGACTGCGAGACCAATTACACAAGTTAAAGTAGTCGATCAGGGTCAATTAGGCTGTTTGAGCACAAAAGCTTAGCCAAATAAAGATTAGTAAACCCTATTAAGATATAGTCTGAAGAGAAGCTCGTCTGTAGCTATGCTTCCACGTACAAACAACCAGATAGTTGCATAGAACAGAATGGAGATACTTGATACGACTATCGACAATAAATTGTCCGAAATGTACTTTAGTAAATAAGTCTATCTCGCTTTATGGAACATCTAATAAATCAACTATAATGAAATTACATTATTACCATAGTGACCAACTTTTGCCCGTTTATTATCATTTACCTAGTTCAGTCTAGGCAACTAGGTATCGTAATAATTTCTCACACGAATAATTGTGGTTCATAGTCTACTATATTAATATGTACTAGGCTAGAGTTGTACTCAATAAAATTTCTATTTAATACACAGTGATTCGTGGCTAATTAAAGCTAATACCTGATTGATTCCATAAATTTAGAAAAATAAACGTAACTTTGAAATGATTTATTAGCGAAATTAAAGTTCATGCAGCTTGTGTATATTCCAAGTTAAAGAATTCTGACTGCTTAATTAACTCCTCTCCTTCTCACCGCATTCCTATTTTTTATAATCGATATGATATTTCATAGGCCTAGGCGCTATCTGTCTATAACTGACTAGTTACCCTTTTGCTACTGTCTGTTACTTGTTCATTTTATTTACGGGTAAACGCAGTATGGATGAATGCTTGAGAAAGTCCAACAAAAGATGATCTTTAAAATTTTGAAGGACAGTGTTTTTGGAACATCAGTAATATCTCGTTATCAGTCTCTTTATAATCTATGATTTCAAAAATTCACTAACTCATTTTGCCTCATGTTTATAAATCAAATTATTTTACGTATATTTACCGACCATACACTTTGAAGAGTGGTTTTTCTCGAAGTAAGAATTAGGTTAACATGAAATAATTATCCTATGATTTTTACTGGATTAAATATCCATGTTTATTGCTCCAAATGGAAGCAGTATTCCAACAGTCTGAAAACAGTGACACTGATCAAGAGATATCACTAATATAGAATCCATTTGCTTTAAAATTTTCAACCAAATCATTAACGTCTTTCTATTGATGCTTCTTGCATTCATACCTTCTCACTATCTCAACTGATTATTTAAAAATCGGTTCTCCTATGAACAACTTCTCAGGAGCAGATTTTTCTTGAGAAACCCTTTAGTGTAGCCTTTATATTGGAATCCAACATTATGCAGTCTTTTGATAGTAACCTTTTCATGGTGACTTCAAGGTCTTCACTACTTCTGAAGCACATCTGCTGTTGAAATTCGTACCATGTAATTGTGATACCTACCTTTCCGACTTAATTTTAGAGAGTGATCTGTTGTCACAAGTAGAGTTTAACCCAATTAACTTAGAGGAACACTAGTGAGTAAGTTGTAAAGCAAATTATAATACCAGAAAACAAAGCCATTTTGAAGTGAATTAATTTCCATCAAATCATTTCATCGTTATTTTACTTTCTGTTCATTTCACAGTGTGTGTAATCGTCTGTACTCAGTTCAGTTACTTGTCTTATTATGTGACTAGAACAACATCTAGTCATGCAAAATAGAATAAGAAAGACTGTTTACTATGCATAGCTAATGTATATTTAAAGCACAAGAGACCGTCGTAGATAATTGAATAAACTTAAGTTAGGTGGCTGATAGTTGTACTTTTCTTACTCTCTTTAACGAAGAGTAGCAAATGAAGGGGATATACAGTATTTGTAGAATTAAAGATAAAACTTCAGATGTGTAAATCAGCCTTGATGATGGTCAAATTTAGTGATATATACATGGTATATGTAGTATAGTTATAGTACAGTACAGTATTGTTTAGTATAATAACTACATTAAGCAAGTAGGTATTACAAGGAATCAGAGAAATCGAGAAAGAGAGAGACTAGTGAAAGTAAATGGTATGCATAGAATTTTGAGTATATTGGATGAAAATAAATGTGTCACTGGTTGATTTCGACCCCTATTACCCGAGAATTTCTACTAATTGATTACTAAGATTTCGAGGATTTTAGCCCGACAAGTCACATGTCTGGCGCTAACAGTCAACGAATTATTGGGTTGATACGGCACCTAATGACCTCATCTGAGCTGACTGATATAAGAAGACTCATTCCGATTGCCTCTGACCACGATAATGAACAAAGGTAGCCAAAAAATAAGCTTCTCCAAGAATTCTTGAACTGAGCTTGATTAGTGGCGGTTACTGAAAGCTAAAGAAGGTACTAAGTACTAAGTAGTGCTCAGCTATTTCGTAGGTTTGATTAAAAAACTGGCACAAAGGAGGGTACAGTCAGTGAGACTTTCGCTGAAAAGCTTGGATCCTTAACAAACTCTGGACCGGTGACCGTGAACCACTTTGAAGAACAGCTCATACAGTCATTCCTTAGTTACCCAGATCCGGACGGAACGAGAATCCGATGTAGATGCTGATTCCTTCACTCTTTTCCAAATTGAAAACTGTGTCGAACCCTTAGCAAAGCAGCAGTGTGTGATGGCTTATCACCACAGGTTTTTTGCTTAGTACAACAATTGGGATACTAACTAGTGTATAGGAATCCAAGACACTTCTATCACATGGGTCCGGATGGCTTGTAATTCCCGTTTGTGTGATAGGAAAAGCGTCTCTGGGTATCTGACATCCTGTCCAAGACCCTAAGGTTCACAGTCATCCAGGGCTTTCGTGGTGTTTTATGAGCTTTGATATTCATGTTCAAATGCTTCTTGATAGGCTGAATTCCCTTGTAAGAATTTACCGTAAGAACTATCAAATTAGAAATGAGCAACCTTAATCTTTATTGCATATTCATCTTTGTAACTTAGAGTGAATTACTGATTCTCTTACTGATTACAGAAGCATTCAGTCAATTTCTAGTAGTTCGAATTAGTGTTCATTCTCTTCTCGGAGTAGATCTATGTTATTGTGGTTGATGAAAGGGATTTCGTTTTAATACGTTTTTTCTAAAAAGTTAGCTAATTCATATATATATATATATATATATATATATATATATATATATATATATATCAACATCGCAATAATTCTAAATAACCAAACCATCGATACTAAGTTGAAATGATTCATTTCACTGAATACTTTGTTGGATAGTTCAAATGAAATATGTTAAGACATGCAGTGTTGTCAATGTTTCGAATCGAGGCCAAATTTTTCTGGATGTGCTGAGAACGATATAGAGTTAAATGTAACTAGTTATACATGTACGATGATAGCTTAAAACTTCTGAAGCCAAACTATTCTGTTTACTTGGATGGCGAATTCTTTTACAACCAAAAAAGAATGTTCAAAAAAGCGGATATTACTTATATTCTGTTAGTCTAAACTCACAACTTTGTATAAAATGATTTATTTTTTTGAAATTGAAGTTTGTCTTTGATTATTCAGTCAATGTTTGAACATATACGAGTGATCTTTCGAAGTTCCCGTAACCTTCAGTCTACATTTTCAACTGTGGTATTTAATTGATCTAAAAACGACGAAATGTATTCACATATGCAGTACACGAATAACTGAAGTTATGTTGATTGTCAGTAATTTCTCTTTTTCTAGGTAGATAGTGATACGACTCACCAGTGAATAGTTACTTCCTTTGTTTTTCTTCAAAATTAATTGATAGTGTATCGGATATATAGGGATAGGCAATTGTTTTTCGCATGGTAAAAAATAATTAAAATATTCAAGATAATTTACATTACTTAAGATAAGCCTTTCTCTCACTCTCGACTATCAAGTTATTTATTCATACCGTCATGGTTTTAAGCGTTTCTTTCATATGCATTTGTTAAAAATTACTTTTTTAGACTGCTCAAGATGAAGAAGATACGTTTGAAACTAATGAAGACGAAATAAGACGGTTAGTTAGTGAAGCGCAATTAAGACGACAGGTATATATCACTCAACAGCCAGTAATTCAGCAACCAACGCCACAACCTGAAATAGTCTAATGGCAAAATCTTTTCTATCTGTTGATGTATAAATCACCGATTATTGTCTTCTTCTGTTTATTGTGTTCACTTTTCAGTCATGCAAGTATACGACGTTAATAATTAAATCGGACTCACCAATCATGTTTTTTTTTGATATTTTTTTCCCGTTATATTTTTATACCTTGTATGAATATTTACTTGTTTTTATTTTCAACAAGGTCATATACTCTTCAAGACCTTTATTTTATTTCACTTTTTTAATTAGTTACAGACAGTATAATTCAATATCATATCTTATCTGACTTTCTCGCCATTTTAATATTATGAAATTTATTTATTTCTGTGTGTTGTTCTTATTTCAGTCTAATGCGCTTATTTCAAGATTGGAGGGATTAATAAATACAAAGGTCTAGGAAGTTAGTGCTATTATTTATTTTGCTTATAGTGTATGAAAAGGTCATGAAAGTATTAAAACACGTGTAGGCTTTCTTTAATGTAGCATACTTTTTGTCTACGTGTCCATTTACAACTATGACTGTTGATCATTAGCAGTACTCTAGCAATTTTTATGTATGAAAATATGCCAACAATAAGCAAGAAGTCCACAGACGCATAAGAATAAGAAAATATTTTTATGTGTTTATTGGAAGAATGCAATCTATGTGAAATGTTGAGAAAGTGCCTAGTAAATATATGATTTCATCAGTTTAACTGATAAGGTTTCGTTTGCGTTGATTCCAATCAACGGGCTTTGGGTTCAAACCACGCTCTACCTATTGATGTTTGGGTAGGCAAGTAGTATCATTATCCCATACTCAGAAACGATGTCTTGTTTGAAGTTTCACGGTGGACATTGTGTCCACCTGCTATATTGTACATAATCTTGTTTCACAAGCGGTTTTTTAACGTGAACATGTTCTTGTTCTCCATGTTTTTACTTGGTATTGTATTTTCCGTTCCGAATCTTCACCAGTTGATCGTTTTTTACACTGTTGCGCCTTATTCTTTTGATGTGCTTTCTTACGATAAGCGTTCGCCACACACCTCTCTCAGTCAAATACTTCTTTCTTCAGTCGCGCCGATCACATCACAGCTACTTTCACCAGTTGTGTCTCTGATTCAGCTACCCGGTGCCACTGAACCGATTTCTGAAGTTGGTTGTTATTTACGCGTCTCTATCCATCGCCTTTGATTGTTTTGTACTCTGTACCACGCCCCTACATGTCTGCTTACGGTCGTTTCCACTCTAGGAGTGGCTTTCCTAGTTCTGGACCGCCTCTAGCATTGTACTTTCGTCCTTTATGCTTTACTTAGTCTCCCACTTCTAACGGTTTCCGCTTCTTACTTTCTGTTCAGAATTCTCAGTATCCGCTTTTTGCTTACCTTCTACATTCTTGATAGCCTCTTTCCACGCAGTTAACGACCTTGGCATGGTCCATTTCTGTTGCTACAGCCAGGTCTTATTGTGTATTTGTGTTTTCTACCGTAAATCAACTAAAAGGGTGTTTTCTTAATTGTTCCTTTCACGGAGACACAATAAGCCCATAAAATTAAAAGCGCTTCTATCTTATAGCTGTCTCCCTTTAAGGTCATCTATTCTTTCAGTATACGGTTGTTTTTGTTGTTTCCTGTCAAACAGTTTGTCAATAGATGATGTTGCGTCTTTCGTATCCTCTTAATAGCTACCTGTTTCATGAGTGATTTGAATTATTTACTCTCAAAACAGAGATCCTTTCCTGTTAATATCATCTTTTGCATCTTTTGATATGCAACAATATGTTGAATCTCAGCCTCAGCAACCATCTTTGCACAATGATCTGTAAATGCTATGGCATCTACCCTACATATAGTGCATGCTTTCATCACCATCAGGTATCGGTTGTCTCCAGCTGTATGCAGTCATATTATATCCACTGACCATAAGTCCGTGACTGCTGTAATGTGGACTGACTACAATGACAAGTGTATTCACCAATCACCTTTCGTCAATTGATACTGGGATCAAGCCAGCACAAGCTTCTGTCATAACCGGGCAGTGAACACTTTGTATAAGGGAGTCGGTATCCTGTCCCAGATATATGGAAAATTCTACTTCCTTTGAGATCACAGAGAAGGAGAGGAAACTAGGAATATATATAAACTCTCTCGAAGTTGTGGAGTCACCTGATATGAATATGGACAACAACTTGTGTCCGAAACGTTATCCAGTAAGTGGTACTGCTTCACTGCGTGACATTTCTAATAAACAAACTAAAGTGGAATTACAACCGAGCACAGTGCCCAAGTTTTACTCCTATATTAATGAAACATATGGTCTTTCTGTTCGAAGACTTATCAACAAACTCACGCAACTTTCACAGACAAGGCAGATACACAAATCACCGTATATTCAATTTTCGATGTCTCATGAATTAAATCATTCCTGAACATCTACGTCTACTTGCACCAATTCCAACAGACAGTCAAAGCAGCTATAGAACGTGTCAATAAACTCTGTTTTAAAGAAGAAACCCATAGACTAGTCAAAAAATTGCACAATATCAGGAATTATATTGGAGATCTTAAGTGTAAGCCAGTACAGACAGATAGTGAAAAAGATCATGAGCTTCTGATGGACAATTGCAATAAAGCAAGATCGGTTGCATTCAAAAACCTCAAAAATACTCATTTTAAGAAGTTCCACAAACTTATGGAACAAAAGCTTGATGTTAACAATACTGAAATTAACAATAGCACATCACCAATGATCGATAAGTCAAAGTGGGTTATGAATCTCCCAACCACAATTCTTAGCTCAACAGAGGTGAAAGTGCTAGAGAAAGGTCTTAAAGTTCAATGTACTGGTTTATGAGTTGAAACTAGAAGATGTCATTCACAAAATAGAAATAGCGTTAAGTTCAATAGAAAAGACGATTGCAGATGAAGTAAGAGCACAGCACACTCTAATACTGAAACGACAGAAGAAAATGAAATCTAATTTATCCAAGTCAGAAAGAGAAACTCTTAGGAACCTTCAAAATGATAGCAATATAGTAATTGCTAAATCAGATGAAGGCAACTCAACAGTTGTAACGAACAAATCTACAAAGTGAATGAGCATATAGAAACAGGATCTTATAAGGAAATTAAGAAATCAGTGGATACTAATATGAATAAGGTTAAGAAATCTACAAGAGATGTGATACGCTGGATAAAGCTGTTTCTAGTTGAGTTAAGACGGCTTAATTTAATGCCGAAAACTAATAATCCCAGTAGAATGTATGGTACTATTAAGTTTCAGCATCAGGTTATCCCATCAGGCCTAAACTAGATTTTAAAAACACTCCAACTTACGATTTGTCTAAATATTTAGCAATGGTGTAAAGTCCAATAAGAAATCACTCAAAATCTTGACTTACCGACTCTCATGAATTAAAGAACAGATAAGACGGCATCCACTTGGATGACAGTGAAAAAAATGGTTAGTTTTGAAATAACTAGTCTTTAACACAAATATACCGATCGACATGGCTCTAGAGGCAGTTAGAAATAGGCTAAAGGATGATAAAGCTTACGCACCGAACTAAGGTGTCAATCAAAGAAATCATGCTAGGAGTACGACTGTGCCTGACATCTACAGTTTTTAAGTTTCAAAATAAAATACCATATTTCCCTCCTGACATATATCCTCGTTCTTTACATTTCACCTGATGCTTGACCTCAAACGGTCCCCATTCACATCCTCGCTGGTCGAATTTTTCAGCATCATCTTTCTGTTCCACATTTCTGATAGCCTGTTTCCGCTCATTTCTCAATCTTACCATGCTCCACGGCTGTTTTTGGGGCCAGGTCTTACTATGTATTGGGACCAGTGGTCTCCTGTCATACATTAACTAGAACTACAACCACTTGGTTGTACCGGAGCACTATGTGCTAATAATATTAACGGCTGTTGCGTTTCCCAATCCCCTCTGACCTTCGAAGCCAGCCACTCCTTAAGTGTACGGTTATTCCGTTCCTTCAGATCGTTATTCTGCGGGTGGTACGGCGTCATGCTTATCCTCTTGATATCAGCTGCTCCAAACAGGATTTGAATTCTTCACTCTCAAAACAAGGACCTTGGTTGGTCAATATCATCTTCGACACACCGTGTTCCGCGACAGTATGCCTCGGTTACTGTCTTCGCGCGTTGACCAGGAATCGCAACAGCGTCTACCCTTCGTGTAACATGTTCCGTCATAACCAGCAGGTATTGGTTGTCATTAGATATCTGCGGAAATGGTCCCATTACGTTTTCAGACCACAGGTTACCAACTGCTGCTACTGGAATCGACTGAAGCGGCGGTCATACATACCGACCAACTTTCATCAGCTGACAATGAGGACAACCCAGCACGTGTTTGGCAACATCTCATACCTGGCCAGTACGCACTTTGTCGAAGAAGGTCAACTGTCCGTGAGACACCTGTATGATCTAACTGGTGGCATTCTTGTATCATTTTGTCGCGTAGACATTTCGGAATCACTGCCAACCAGCTCCCGTCGTTTTCTCGCCAAGTCAGCATTCCATAAGTATTCATCCGTAGGTTTTCTTTCTGAGTCAACAACGTTCTCAACTCTTTATTTCCCACAGACTTGTTTGTTTCCATTCTTTCAGTTATGGCTTTTATCACTTCTTTAAGTGTACAGTTCGACTTCTGAAGGTGATAATTTCCTTCTGGGGTCTCTTGCTGTCCTAAGCCACTGTAGAGGTTTATGATCAGTTTCAACATGGAGTCGTTGACCGAGTAGGTACTATCTCCATTCCTCAAATGCCCAAACTGTTGCCAGACATTCGTTTTGAACTGTGAAATATTTCTGTTCTGCAGGTGTCACGACACGACTGGCATACTCTAATACTCCGTCAGCCTATCTCAGAACTGCGTCTGTTCCCAAATCAATTACATCGGTGAACACGATGAATTGCCTCCTGGGTATTGGTAGTTTTAGTCATCTGCCGATCATTTAGGAGTTCCTTGATGTGATCATATGTTTTCTGT